ATAATCCTCCATCTTAACACTGAGCTTCTAAAAGCTTTCATTGATCTATATTGTGCCTTTGCCCTTAAAAGTATGACTTTCTCTCGCCCTTCCGCACAAAGTGCCAAATTTTCAAATTATGGCTCTATTCGGATGCTCTCTAACGTACAATTGAACAATTCTGTACACTTCAGAACATTTTCTTTCCTTTAAAACGAGATTTAGACAGAATTTCCATTTGTAGCCTATTTCCTGTAGACTTTATCCTCTAGTCCTGTTCTTTCGTAAGTAGGAATTTCTAAAAATCCCGCCTCATCCCATCCCTTTTCACCATCAGCGATGCTCATTCCAAATACCAGGTCTTTAAAACAGGTAATTAATAACCTTACTCTATAGATTTCCGAGCGGGATTCATGTTTTATAAACATGTAAAATTTATTTATTTTTGAATTTCTTAATTTGAGGTTTCTTTTTTTAAAGTTTTCATTTCTGATTTTCATAAAACAAGAATTGAGTTGCTGTTGTTTCTACAAACGATAGCATTTCACATCATTTCAATAATTTTCAAAACATTTGAAACAATTTTCTAAGGACTAATTTGTATTGAGTTCTGTTGCAATCTGAAATATGAACAAATTGTTTAAAAAGCAATTTGTCGAATATATTTCACCCATTATCAAATTCCAGGAATTAATATGCATATGGAAATATAAATATATTTTTGTTCATTGATTTTTTTGTGTACCATAACATACTCGCCTACAAACATAAAATGCTATTTCATTTTCTAATCAATCCAATCATTGAAATGCTTTTGACATTTAAATTTACTGTTGCAAAATATCTCTGTTTAAAGTGAACATTAAATTTCATTCGAATTTCGCTTTATGCATTTTCCATTTCCCCATACGAATGAGGGAGAAAATATAGCATAAAAGAAACTTACTCGATGCAATACAATTATTCAATAAAAATTCCTCCCGATATAGAAATGCACAATACATTCGCGTCATATGGATGGAATGTTGTTGCACTCTGAAAGAGGTTCCATATCTGGGAGGTATCGTTTCATGCCTGCGGCGTAATTTCGTCGTGGAGGCAAAAGTATTACATCTAAAGGGTATCACACCTACACGCTCACACACAAATATTTATTTACTCGCTCACGTGTACCTTTAGCCTTCAATAGCAAGAAGTCCATTAATGGTGAAATGTAGTGGGCGACGAAGTGACCCAGTCGTAAAAGGTCAAGTTTTTTTTTTTTCACAGAAAGTCCTCTTTTTTAAAAGGTCGCGTTTGGTGAAGTTTCCAATGGATAATCTAGGCAGGTAACACACAAGAGTGAGAGAGAGAGCGAGAGGGGAGTGTGTTAATGAGAAAATAGAATGAAATTATCTCCTAGGCAAAAGAGCTGTGCAAAAATCAAGCACTTTGATTTATTTCATGGAAATGGTGAAAATAACCGTTTGATATTTAAGTAAAAATCAATTCATTTATACAAAAAATAAAAAACAACGAATTTCTAGACACTCTAACATTTTGGATGCATTTCATTATACCCTGCGTAAGGGTATTATGTCTTTGTGTATTTGCTTGTAATATGGAGAAAGAATCGGAATAGACTCGTAGTTACTTTTGAGGATCTGCATAGAATCAATTTCTGAGGCATTTTATGCACATTAGTCCGTCTGTCCGTCCGTATTTTGTGAACAAAGTGCAGGTCGCATATATGATCCGACTGAGATGAAATTTTCCATTTTTTTTTTGATTAAGGACAAATCCTACTAAAATTGGTGAGAATCGGGTTAATTGTACACCAAATGTCCAATATCCCATGAATTTTGACCTGAATTTTGGCACATCCGACCAAATTCAGTCTAGGCAATTACATTAAATTTGAAGAAAATCAGTTCAGATATAGCCTTAGCTCCCATATATATTTTCCATCCGATTTGGTCTTTAAGCCCAAATATGCACTCCACAACAATGATATTTGGTACCGGATATCAGATACAGCCTAAAAATACCTCTGCCAAGTTGTATTAAGATCGGTTTAGATTTGGATATAACTCCCATATATTTTTTCAACCGATTTCGGGTTAATTGTGCCCCAAATGACCACTATCAATCCCAATGACCAGAATTTTGGCACATCTGACCGAATTCAGTCAAATTTGGTGAAAATCGGTTCAGGTACAGATATAGCTCCCATATACAAGGCAAGATAAAAAAAACTGCAACAAAGACAAACACCATAATTTTTACATTTTTTTTTAAATCTTATATAATGAAGGCAAAAAATATCGGAAAGAGCATCAAATTTTAGAATAAGTTTAGATTTGTTCGAATCGGTCACCTTTGGCACGAATTATGACCTTCAAACAGCCAATGGAACCATCACACGCTGCCCGAATGTTGCTCTGAGGTATTTTGGCCTATTCCCGGCGAAGCGCTTGCTTGAGGTGATCGACACTTTGGTATTTTTTAGTGTCAACCTTGCTTTCCAAAATACTCCAGACACAATAGTCCAACGGATTGGTATCCGGAGATTTAGGTGGCCATTGTGCGCTGGAAATGAAACGAGGAACCTCATTTTGTAACCATTCTTGAGTGGCGCGTGCTGAGTGCTGTGGTGCTGAGTCTTCTTGGAATGTCCAAGGTCTGCGGCCAAAATTTTTGCGTGCCCAAGGCTGTAATACATCCTCTACTTTCGCGATAAAATTCGACTTTAATTTTGATGTCAAGGTCGATTAATACAAGCGGAAAGCAACCATTGGCTGTTATGGCGGCCCACACCATCACAATGGCCGGCGATTGAGTTCTGGTGGCCAACCTAAGGTGTACATTTTCAGCTGACCTCTTTGGCAAGTAAACACGATAATTTTGTTTGTTTACAAACTGCTGGACAACGAATGTTTTCTCATCGGAGCGGAGAAAACCAAATTAGGCAGTTCACCACTTTCGGCCAAGCGAAACAACTCTTTATCTCTTTTGAGTCTATTTTCTTTCTGTTGGGGTGTAAGTTCTTGCACTTTTTGGAATTTCAAGGGCTTTACCCCGAGCTCATTTTTAAATATTTGCCAAGTGGAATGTTGCGATATGTTCAGCTCATGAGGCATTTTTCGGCCACTGCGACGCTTGTTTCGATCAAGTCGCTTCATTACTTCTCGAACCATTTCTGCGGATGTTGTTGCTGTTTTCTTCCGTCCACTTCCTTGACGTCGGGCTACTCTACCAGTATCACGGTAACGATCGATGATACGAGACACAAAATATTTATTCACATTTAAATGCTGGAGTGCTCTAACGATAGCCACTTGTGGTTTTCTAGCCACATATAAAGAAATCACACTATCACGCTTGAATTTCATCACTAATAACTTTTTTTTCTGGACAATTCTCACCAAAATGTTTTTGTACGCTTATAAACAATAAAATGAGCTGTCGCTGGAATAATTTTAACAGCTGTTGGACCAGTGGCTTGGAAATGACAGCAGTCTGAAGTTGGTTGCAGTTATATCATCTCACCCTGTATAATTTCAATCATTAATTGTGCACCAAATGGCGAATAAAAACAATTTTGGCATATCCGATCAACTTCAGTCTAGGAGCAAGTACATCAAATCGAAAATCGGTTCAGATATAGCTTTAGCTCCCATATATATGCATATATATTTAATCCGATGTGGCCTTTAAGTCCAAATATGCACTTCATAACAATGATATCTGGTACCAGATATCTTATAAAGCTCGGAAATACATTTTTCAAATTTTATGGAGATTTGCTCAGATTTGGATATAGCTCCCATATATATCCTTATTGCGATTTCAGGTTTATTGTGCAAATAATGGCTTATAACAGCCCAAATGGAGTGAATTTCGGGACGTACGTTTCCATTTGGTGGAACTCGGTTCCGATATAATAATATAATCCTTCTGAAAGTGATATCATGCACTCTATAGCATTGTTATTTGGTATAAAAGACAAAAATGTGTCCCTCACATTTGGTGAAAATCGTTTCAGAATTTCATATATATTGGCTGCCTCTGAAAAAAAAATATAACTGTTCTTAAGCCAAAGGTTGATAGGCGGTATGATCTACTTCCAATAAATTCCCAATATAAATTCTTTTGTTACGGGAGCTCTACTAAATATGCATAATGGTGTAGAGTATCATCGAGTCGGCCCCGCCCAACTTGTGTCTTTTCCTTACTGGTTTTATTTTTCATTTCATCAAACCCCTGAGTCTAGGATAAGCAATTCCCTGACGCTTTGTGGGCGTTACCATTAACTAGCCATGATTCTCTGCAAAATTTTGAAATGTCAATTTAAAGCTCCCATTTCTTTCTCATTCATCATTTCGTCTATGTGAAGTGTATTGTGTGTGTGTTTTTTTTTTTTTATTTTGTGAATTAAGTTTGTTTGCTTGCTTTTCTCTTGGAAAAATATTTACAAATTGCGTGTTCCAAAGACTGTATTCCGGGTCCCCATGAATATTTTATGAACTATAAAGAAAATACACAAATATTTACATATTTTGTCAGAGCAACAGGAATTCATAGGAATCACCATTGGCATTTCAATACTTCAGGTGTGGTTTTAAAAATCTTTCGCATAGGAAAAAAAATAGGAAAACAAAAATATTGAACGATTGAGCAATATCAACTTTAAATAGAAAATTCAATGAGATATTTATTTGTGCAATTGAAAAGGATATATGAAGAAGATGCCACCAATGGATGAAAGACTTTCTGTAAATTTAAAACAAAATTACTATATATTTTCAGAAAAGAATCTGATTTTTCAGGCATGTCACAGAATGTAAAATCGTTCAAGAGTGAAAACGAAAACGGTTTTAGCTTCCCTAAAAAACGGAAAACGCAAAAATTTTGCGTTTTGATATCACTTTCAAAAAGCAGGGTGAAATTGAAATGTTTAGTGATTTTAACGTAAAAAATAAACAGAAGACACATATATTTAACAGAAAATATTGTTTTAACCAAATTCTCTTAGAATGAACATGTTTTTGGAATTTATTTTACAAAAAATCTATTATTTTTCTAATCCATGATGAAAACGCAAAAAAATATGCAGAAATGAACGGCAGACTTGTATTGTTGAATTATTGCCATATGTGTTGAAGAAGAAGGTGTAGAAATGTACAACTGACAGACCAAAAAGCAAGAAAGGGGAAAAACAAAAAAAAAAAACAATTAATTGTTTGGTTTCGACTTTCTTTTTTCTTCGGAAGACATTCTTAATTTGATCCAATGTGGACAAATTTCAGCTTCAATTGCATTAATAACTCTCCACATAATTGTAGAAACTGTACTTCTCCCAAGGCTTAGCTCCACATCTCTACCTATAACTCCTTGAAATGCACCCGTAGCCAAAAACCTAATTGTTGTTGCAAGCTGGATAATAGCCGGTATATTGGAACGTTTGAGGTGGGGAGAAATTTTTTCCAAAACTAAAACAAAAGCTTCTTTATTTAGCCGATAATAAGTTATAAATCTGTAGAAATAAATTATTATTAAAATAAATTTGAAAATAACTCATTGCTGGTGGATCCTTACTCTGCATTTGAGTGAGATAAAGGATCTGATGCGTTCCTCAATGTCCGGCGACGATTTTTTTCAGTAGACCGCTGATTTATTTCTTCATCCATTACAGCAAGTATTGAAGCCCCTGGCATTTTTACTTTTGGTGTTTATATTAAAAAAAACAATTTAAACTCCTTTTTTAATTGTCAATAATTTGTTTACGACTTTTTTTTCATGGAGTTACCATATTTTTATTTCAAAAATGTGAAATGATTTTTTTTCCGGATTAGTCAAAACGTACGAGTGCTGAAGAAGCAAAAGCAAATCGTAACGATTTGGAAAAGGTGAAATAAATCGATTTCGTAAAACTTCTGTGACATGCCTGTTTATGTGGTTTTTAAAAATGAAAAAAATGATAGAGTATTGTTTTGAGATCCTTAGAATACAAATTATCGACAAAGAGGGCTCACTTTAGAAATGACTGTTATTTAACTTCCAATTAGAGTAGTACCGGCCCCTTCGAAATAGTAAATTTTAGGATGTCTTCATAACGATTTCCTTGAAAAATTTAATTTTTTTCCTGTTGGAACCCCACTCTCCAAAATGGTTTCGAATGTCATTTCTGGCTACGCCAACAAGTGTATACGCTTGGACTAATAAAGAAAACAATATATTAATACAATTTAGAATAATTACAAATGAAAGAAGTATAAAGGGATCAACACAAGGCATTACAATAGATATAACGGTGTTAGCTGTTCGATCTAATATCGATAGAATGGATATATGGTTAAAAACCTTCGAATTAACTAAAATCAGGCGGTATCTTTATAAGGAGTATGCCAATTTTTATACCCCATGTCATTCCATTGGTGATTCTTTGAAAAAAAGAATGAATAATTGTAAATCCCACCAAGTATATATATTCCTGATCCGAATAAGACTCTAGCTCCCTAACGAAATGAAGTCGGCTTTTTACATTTTGTTGATATGGATTTCAGCCTGTGAAATTTTTGGCAGCCTCCACATAACTCTATCGACAGTCTAATGATGTTTGGGCTGTTCAGTTTTATTTTTTTGAAATAGTTTGCTGTAAATTTGCCATTTGCATTGCCAATGCAAAGAATTGCCAATATAAAACCAATTTTTAGACTATTCCCCACAAAAGTCCGAATTTATATTAGGCAAGCTTTCCTTTTTAAAATTCTTTATTTGTAAGAAAGAGGGGTAAGGGGAGCAATTTTCTGGTAATACGTTTCTTCTTTTTATTTATATACAAAAATATAATTAATATAAATAATGGGCAGACCATGTAATACCCTACAACACTACAATATGTTAGAAGCCCCTTTATGTCCAAATCCATTTTGGAAGATTTCTCTTTTGAAATTATGTCACGGAGCACTGCCCAGTTATAATCCTTAGTATTTTGACCAGGGACTTTTGCCCAATATTTACGCACTCCCTCATGCTGTTAGTTGTTGTGGTCCATTTTACAGCTTAATATAATCCAATGGTCATTCAAAATGCTAGAACTCTTCCCTGTCATTATCTCCCTTCTCAGGCGTGTCGATTGGCTTTAATTATGTGATCAGGAAATTTTTTCTGTTTTTGGTTCATTTGAACCGTTAAATATTTTGCGATCACCTCCAAAAGCAGAGGCCCCTCTGTATCTCCAAATTTAGACTCATCTATATGATTTGCTTGCCTACGATAGTTGGTTATATTCGTTAACGAAGTCAGCCAAAAAAAAAAAAAAAAAACAGAAGTTCGCCTTTTGTGTATTTTGGAATTCGCCTGTGAGCTATTTTCAGCGTTTCGGCAGAATATATTTTTTTTCTACCCGCTGTCATAAACTCTATCTTCATGCGGGATTTCGTGTCCTTTGGCTTCTATTTGTGACCTTTATAACGGCTGCAAAATCAGGAATACTTTTAGTTGTTGGTCCGTTTCAATCTCTAAACAAATTGCGAACATCTTTGAAAACAATAGGCTTAGCCCTACCTTTGGAAATTTTTCGTAAGGATCGGACGATAATTGTAATCTGTATATAATATCCCCAACCTGTGTTGTAATGCAAAAAAATAATACAAAACAAAAACTTCAATATTATAAGTCAATTTGAAAAAATCGCATGCGATAAAAATATGAAAATATAAAAAATATTTAACAAAATTCTACAAAATCTATATTAACATCATTATTGGCATTGTTTTATGCGATTTTTTTAGATTTTTTACTTTTATGCCAAGAAGGCATGCTGAATTGACATAATTTGCCAAAATCGGTCTAGCCAATTTTGAGATATAAGCATTCTGGCTAGCATCCCTTTCCTTTGTATATATTTACTATCGGCATCTACATAACGGTCACAATTGACCTTTTCGTCTATTTGTGACCTCGTCATGATTACAAATATTCGCGATTTAATGGAAAATTTTACTTTTATTTAACACAAATTTTATGATCTATTCCAGCCACTAAATATTATCCGATGACCATCAAAATTGGAAAGCTCCTGCCCAGCCCTAAGCTCTAGCCCTATGCTAACTTCCGCGTCGATTGGTCTATAATTGTGACCTAAATATTATGCGTTCATCTCCAAAAGCAATAGGATTATATTCTGGCTCTAGCCCCACCTCCATTCTAAATTTCGTGAAGATCGGGCCATAATTACGACCTATAGCGTGATTACAAATTAATATGGACGGACGAACGGACACACATAGCTAGATCGACTCAGCTCGGCTCGATAGGAAGATCCATACATACTTTCCTATGTGGGAAACCAATATTTTGAGGTGTTACATACTTTTTGACCCAATCAAACTTATTATAAAAACGTCGCAAATGAGAAAAACGAGCACAAAAAATATCTGATTTTCACAAACACACCATAATTGCGCGGCATGCATTTTGATTGTGTACGGGGCACTTTAGAAATCTCTCCAAAAGAAAACTTTTTTTGCTCCAAATCAGCGGTGCCCAAAAAGAAATATCTCTTTTCATTCAAATTTCTCTTTGCTTATTTAAATCAAGAACAAAACAGTGTTAAGTCATTATTTATACAAATATTTTTTATCCATTTGCTTTATTAATTATTTTGGCAAACATTCGTGTTTAAAAACAATTAAATAGAACCGTAAAATATAAAGAAAAACAGAGTTTTAATTTTCTCTTAAATTATCTCTTTTTTCTCTTCATGTTCTAGAACACGGTTTTGAGCACCACTGCTCCAAATACTCTCTTTAATATTCATGAAGTGAAGTGTGCACTGTTACCTTTGCAAATACATAACATCGGTTGTCACGCACTTACCCCCGTACAACGATAAATCATTAGTTGTCTTTCTCTTTAATAAAGAGACTATGAATTATCTCTTTTCAAGATAAAATCAGCCCTGCTCAAAACCGTGTTTAGAACATCAGCCGAAAAAAGAGATATTTTAAGAGAAAGTAACAATTCTATTTTTCTTTATATTTTCCGATTCCATTTAATTGTTTTTAAACACGAATGTTTGCCAAAATAATTTATAAAGCAAATGGATATTTTTTTTGTTTAAATAATGACTTAACACTGTTTTGTTCTTGATTTAAATAAGCAAAGAGAAATTTGACTGGAAAGAGATATTTTTTCTTGAGCAGCGCTGTTAAAATTCATCTAATCGATCTCTCATTTTAACAAATCGTTCCGATTTTATTAAAAAAAAATCCAATAGATGTCTCCCATACTCCCTCTCTTACATTGGGAGAATTCAACATAATTTGCGCCAAAAACAGCCCTGCTCAAGAACAAGGGCCCGCTTACCAGACAATTTCTCTTTGCTTTTAGAAATCATCAATAAATCAGTGTCGTTTTTTTTCTTTATTGTTAATTATAAGCTTAATTAATACTTTTGGACCAACTTCGCATTTACAAAGAATTTTAAAAAATATTAAAATATAAAGAAAGACAGAATATTGATTTTCTTTTAAATGTTCGCTTTTGTGGACTCATGTGCTAGCTTATGGTTTTGAGCAGTGCTGACAAAAACAAAGCCAATCTCCTGCTCTTCAGAACATTTTCTTCCCTTTAAAACAAGTTTTAGACAGAATCTCCTTTTGTAGCCTTTATCCTCTAGTCCTGTTCTTACCATTTCGTAAGTAGAAATTTCTAAAAATCCTGCCTCATCCTATCCCTTTTAATCATCAGCGATGCTCATTCCAAATGCTAGGGCTTTAGAACAGGTAATTAAGCCAATCAATTTACTCTGTAGATCTCCGAGGCGGGATTTTTGTTTTATAAACATGTTAACTTTATTTTTTTTAAATATTCTAATTTGAAGTTCCTTTATTAAAAAAGGTTTTCATTTTTGATTTTCATAAAACAATGATTGAGTTGCTGGTGTTTCTACAAACGATAGCATTTCACATAATTTCAACAATTTTCAAAACATTTGGAACAATTTTCAAATAACTAATTTATATTGAGTTCTGTTGCAATGTGAAATATGAACAAATTGTTTAAAAAGCAATTGGTCGAATATATTTCAACCATTATCAAATTCCAGGAATTAATATGCATATGGAAATATAAATGTAATTCTGTTCTTTGATTTTTATGTGTACATTAACATACTCGCCTACAAACACAAAATGCTATTTCATTTTCTAATCAATCCAATTATCAAAATATTTTTGACATTTAAATTTACTGTTGCAAAATATCTCTGTTTAAAGTGAACATTAAATTTCATTTGAATTTCGGTTTATTCATTTTCCATTTCCTCATACGAATGAGGGAGAAAATATAGCATAAAAGAAACTTACTTGATGCAATACAATTATTCAATAAAAATTCCTCGCGATATAGTAATGAACATTACATTCACGTCATATGGATGGAATGTTGTTGCACTCTGAAAGAGGTTCCATATCTGGGAGGTATCGTTTAATGCCTGCGGCGTAATTTCGTCGTGGAGGCATAAGTATTACATCAAAAGGGTATCACACCTACACTTACACACACAAACATTTACTCGCTCACGTGTACCTTTGGCCTCCAGCAGCAAGAAGTCCATTAACAGTGAAATGTAGTGGGCGACGAAGTGACCCAGTCGTAAAAGGTCAAGTTTTTTTTTTCCACAGAAAGTCCTCTTTTTTAAAAGGTCGCGTTTGGTGAAGTTTCCAACGGATAATCTAGCCAGGTAACAGACAATAAGAGAGTGAGAGAGGGGGGAGTGTGTTAATGAGAAAATAGAATGAAATTATCTCCTAGGCAAAAGAGCTGTGCAAAAATCAAGCACTTTGATTTATTTCATGGAAATGGTGAAAATAACCGTTTGATATTTAAGTAAAAATCAATTCATTTATACAAAAAATAAAAAACAACGAATTTCTA